GTCCGTTGCAGCATGGTTCCAGATAGCTAAGTGCCCTCTGGAGAAGACATGCTAAGGAAACCATGGTCAATGCATTTACAAGTGGGGTACCTTTCAGTCAGAGAAAAGAAAGAAACAAATCCTGGCTTTGGTGGCAGCATGAATGAAATTGGAGAACATTGTGCTAAGTGAAGCAAGCCAGACACAGGAAAACAAGTATTATATGACCCCACTTATATCTGGAGTCTCAGAAACTTCAGCTCAGAAGCGGAGAACAGTGGGTGACGCGTGGAGAAGGGAATGTTAGTCAGAGACACCAAGTTGACTTATAAGATGAGTAAGCTCCGGAGATTAACATTGTAGTGACTGTAGTTGTACTGTACTGTTTACCTGCAGTGTGGTAGCAGCAGATCTTCGGTACCACACACACATCTCTATGGGGTGATCGGTTAATTAGCTTAAGTGTGCTAATCATTTCATAATGTGTATACAGGCCGAATCAGTGCATTATATACTTTGAATGTATAAACTTTGTCAGTTATATTGTGATAAAACTGAGAAGATAATAAATTACAAACATGAGAATACTCCCAAATTTTTCAACACTGTGTATTATTATTACCCAGAGTTTATTTGTTTATGGCATTTTAAAGTAAAATGCACAGTTTTGAAAGCTTTTGAAAATGCACAAGTTTGAAAGCTTTTATCTGATAGTCTCAACAGTCTTTTACACTGATCTGATCCACTCTCTGACCAAGAGACATCATGACTACCACCCGGGAAGTATCCTCCTGCCCCTGCTCGGCCTGTCCCTACCCCTGTTCACTCCCAGGTAAACCTTCTGTTTTACCTGTTCCAGAACTTCCCACCAACAGAATCATCAAGTATTGTTTGTGTCTGGCTTCTTTCACCAGATAATATTTTTTGAGATTTATCCATATTGTATGTAATAGACCATTTGTTTTTATAACTGAGTGAAAATCCATCATACATATATAACAAAATATATAAGCCTATGAGTGGACACAAATTTTTCCAGATTAGGAAAATTAGCCGATGTACACATTTTTGGAAGTCTTTGTTAACATGTGATTTCTTTCTTGAACTAAGTTCTTAGGAGTGGAATTTCTGTATCATATGATAAAATGTGTGTTTAACTTTGTAAGAAACTGTCAGACCTTTATCTAATGTGGTTATTTTCTTTTGTGTTCCTACCAAAAATGTTGAACTAGCATTCTAGTTGCCAATGTTTGGTGGTTTTAGACTTGTAAAATTTAGATATTCTGGGCAGTAGATTCCAATATCTACAAAGGCTGCTCAAAAAATACAATGAGTTTAAAATTTTTCAAATGATATTATGTTAAAAGACAACATATTGCCATTATTCCCTCTCCCCTTGAATACATTTATCCCATCATCCTGCCATTTTCTGAAGCAGATCTACAAGTCCTCTTTCATGAGTGTCTTTATCAGCTGTGGTCAAAACCAGTCAATGCTGTTGCTAAGCGCTAGCCTATGGAAAAGCAGACTTCTCAAAATATTATGGTGTGTTTTCATCTACTTTATCCACCAAATCTAATACTGTACAACTTCTGGCTCTTCCTCAAAAGTCAAGATGACCATGAAAGACGAACGTTTTTAATTGCTTCAGGACACTGGGGCAGCCACAACAATAAAACTAAAGATGCTCCTGAAAGAGAGCTCCCAGACCGCATCACGTGGTGGCAAGAACAGTGAGACTTATGTGTTTGAAGCAAGGGGTTAATGACAGTACATATTTTTCGTATTTTACTGTGATGATTTCTTAAATGTAAATGTTCACCATAGTTTTAGATCACACTTTTTTTTTTTTTTTTTTTTGCTTTTGACGTTGCTTTTCAGAGACAGAGTCTCACGGTATAGTTCAGGCTGATCTTGAATTCACTATGTAGTGCAAGCTGCCTCAAACTCACAGCAGTCCTCCTGCTTCAGCCTTCCTAGTGCTGGGAGCTATGCAATACCACACCCAGCTTAAATTATTTTTAATGTACATTTATATGATGACTGAAGATGTTGGGCACTTTTTCATCTGTTCTTTCGCTATTTGTGAAGTGTTCCTATGTACCTTCTGATCATCATTTTAAATTGAGTGTTTATTAAGAGTTCTATTGTATAAAATTTGATTGGAGGAAAAAGTTTTACAGTATAAAAGCATTTGAAAACCACTGGCCAATGTGAATCACTTTGGTAGTGTCACTTCTGTTTTGCCTCTTCTTTTCTTTTTGACTTTCCAGCTTTCCTTCTCCAATACAGGGACCCCTGCCACTGCCTATTTCTAGCTGTACAGTTTGAGTTGCTCTGGATCTGCTGAACAAGTTCACTGTCTGTTAGGAAGTGACTGTGTCATCCCTCCAGATGCATACACTGAAGCCCTAACTCCAATCTGACTGTATTTGGAAACAGGACCTTCATAGAAACACTGAAGGTTAAATGAGTTCATAAGGATGGATCCCTAATCTATTAGAATTGGTGTCCTTATAACAAGTGTCACCAAAGCATACTATGTGTGCAAATACTCATGCTGTCATGGCAGCCCAAGTGGATTCCTATACCATGCCGCTGCTGTGTTTAGCATTGAGTTCCATGTGGTCAACCTGTGAGATCTTATACTGGTGAGATCTGCTGTCCATCACACAGTGTGTGTCCAAAATTCAAGCCCCATTTGTCAGTTGCTAAAAACTTGTCTTTTCTTGACTCTTTTTCCCATTCTTCTTCCTTTTAAGTTGTTAGGCATCTTGTACAGACAGTTTTCTTTATATGGCAAGCATTTATCTTGTTCAGTTTTATAGTTCATAGCTTCTCAATTACATCATCAGTCTCCTGACAGTCACCTTGTCTCCAGATTCGAGACAGACTCCACCGTTTACCAGCACCCAGAACCTTATTCACGTCCAGAAAACGGACTGCTGTCCTGGACACCATCTCTGTGGCTGACAGCCTCTCCTAACCTTCCTTTCCTTCTTCCTTGCCCTTCCACCAGACAGAGAGGCTGCAAGCCTATTGTGCTGGCTACACTTGGAAAACCCTCCACACCCTCCAGCCTTCAGGTTCCTTCACAAAATGTCACAATTTTATTGACAGAGAAACTGTAAAATGTGAATGAGGGGACAAGATGCATTGCTGTCTTCAGATTTTCCTCAATTTCTTAACTAAAAGTAGCAAGCAATGCTGTGCAGACACATTCTGAATTCTTCTGGCTCTGTCATTCATTTTTCCTTAGCTCTGAGTGAGGAGAATTGGGGATTCATGGATCTAGAAATGCAGTTTGACCTGATGACCCAGAAAGGCTGCATATCCAGCCAGCAGGGCTCAGTCTTCAGGATGCTGCTTCTGCTTGCCCTATCGGGTGCCACCAAGTGTCCCTGACAGCTGCTGCTTCCTGAGATAGCAGCTGGTTTTCTGGAACCTACTAGTGACTATCAATTTCCTTTATTGTTCCATGGAGCACTGATCTAGTTTCCTATTCTGTTAAATAGCTTCAGTGGCCCAGAATTTGTTCCTGTCCCTCTTAGGCATTTCTCTTTGCAATGTGATTTCTTTCTGATTTGGATCACCTTAACATCTGTTTGCTCCTGTGTTTTGCTTTTTGAATTCTTTCTTCCATCCTGTCTACATGTGAGCTAGAGTACACGAGGCATTCCCCAGCCCTTTCACCTTCAGTCCTCTTAAAAAGTCAACTTGCCATAGATGCCTGCATAGGTTTTTATTTCCAGCAGGAAGACTAGCAAAGCGCATAGCTGCAGTCTCTGTGACTGTCCTATTCCAAGAATTTATGTGGTCATGCAGGGGTTGCCCTTGGAAATTCTTATTTTTTTCTGCTATTTTCTAGCAAGCCAGTGACTTTGGGTGATTTGAAGGGCTTTGGACAGCTTTTGAGGAAAGCCTGTTTGCTTTACTAATCTTTCTAGACTCAGTACTCTGCTTAAGAGTTGGTATTTCTACCCAACTTGCAGGGAGGGGGAAGCCAGATACATAGAGCTCTTGACCAAGAGTTTCAAACTCCTGCACCTGTTCCTTGCCATGTGTCTGCACTGGTTTCAGGTTTTCCACCACCCCAGTCCAAAACTCTCTGGATGCCTCTGGTCATTTGTATAGTTAAGTTTGAATCCGGGACACTGGTGACCCTCTTATGACCTTAGCAAGCTCATGTGGCTTCCCACATTGCATAAGGTATTCCCTGGGAACCACCAAGAGGTTGGAAAAACTCTACCTCTTTCAGTGGCTCCTGCTGGAGCTGCTTTTGCTGGGCTGTGTCTCAGGAGCCCCAGATGGAAGCTTTTCAGTGCCAGCTCTGACTTCGCACCACTCGTCCCTGGAGAGAGCCACTGACTGCGCCCGCCCTCCACCCCTCCCTCCCGGAGGTCCATGTGGTGTGACCTGGACACACTACTTCAAAGGCTTCCTTGATTACTGGTAAATTGGTTTGCTGAGTTATGTTTATTGAACAAGAACTTGCTTTGTCTCTGAGTTCAATTAGAAATGTTTTCCAGTGTCCATGGAAGAAACTGCTATCATGTTTGTTTTAAATCTTTCTTGAGATCCCTTGCCCTTGTGGTGTTGCTAGAACCAGTATAAAGGCCACTGTGGGAGATGGCAGGGAGGACACAGTTCATCTCAAATGTCAGCCAGGCTCCCAATCAGTTTTCACCACAGACCTGTGAGGTGGCACATTTGGTAATTGCGAGAAGCAAAAATGAGCCCTTTTCACTTCCTTAGGCTCCCAGGAACATTCCATAGATTACCGCAGAAAGTGCTTATTGAGGGTCTATTATAAGCCACTGGCAATGTTAAAAAAAAAAAAAAGGCACCTAGTCTCCTACTCCTGTCCTGGTGGAATATGTGTTGCTGTAACATGTAGAGACATTGATGTTTTCAATGAACTGTTTGTTTACACCCATGAGAAACCATCCTAGAAAACAACATGAATGACATGACCTAGAGGCACTGGCTGGTGAATGGCTAATTTCTGCCTTTCTGTACAGGGACAGCATGCAAGATTCAAGAAGTATGTGGGGCACAGTGCGCACGTCACCAACGTGAGGTGGCTGCACAATGACTCCGTGCTACTGACAGTGGGCGGCGCTGACACGGCCTTGATGATCTGGACCAGGGAGTTTGTGGGGACCCAGGAGAGCAAGCTGGTAGACAGCGAGGAGTCCGACACCGATGCGGAGGAGGACGGAGGTGAGCCCTCTGCCTCTTACCTAGGCTCCCCTTCCTTCCACTCCCGTCCCCACCACATCACGGCAAACCAAGTCACTCCCCAAACTCTGTTGTTTGAGGCTATGACAGCGATGTTGCCAGAGAGAAGGCCATTGACTACACCACCAAGATCTATGCCGTGAGCATCAGGGAAATGGAAGGCACCAAACCACACCAGCAGCTGAAGGAAGCGTCGGTGGAGGAAAGGTATGGTGTGTCGAGGGTTGCTGGTGTTTGTCACAGCTGATAAACTTATCTAAACTAGAATGTGGCTTTCATGATCCTCAAAGTTGCTACTTAAGTAAGCCTATTGTTATCTTCAGAGTCTTAACTGATACATAGGCTTTAGCTGGGGGAAATCGCACAATGCCCTCCATACATGGCAGATGTGGGTTACTCTTAAAGGTTGGTTATGGAGCATGACTTGATTAGACATGACATTCGGTGGGACTGAGTTTACTTCGCCTAAAGAGGCCAGGCTTTTTGGCCAGGCCCAAAAGCTGTCCTGAATTTAATGGCTGGCAGGAGAGGTTGATGATTAGCACGGCAGGAGGAAGGTCAGATTTCTGGAGCCACAAGGAAAGTTGTAGAGCTGCTCACAGTTGTCTTCCATTCTAACCAGTCTTTTCATTATGCTGTATGGTATCCCTTTACCTTTTCTTTCTGTGCTTCATTTGTCCATATTTGTTCAGGGAGGTTAGTAACCCGAGGCTTACCTCATTTGATGATGTTGGCTTCAATGGTATATGTAGGAAGAGGGTTTTTAGTATTATTTTATATCTTTTTGATGTCTGACTTTAACCACTGATAAATTGTTGAACATTTTAGAATTTCTAAACAGAAAAGCTCATGCTTATATAATTCACCATGGGAAGCCTAAAATGAAATAAAAATTCTAAAATATAAAGAGAATCTCATGGGCCTCAAAGATGTTTTAAAAATTCTGTGTGATTTTAAAATTCTGTATCATCATTTTTATTCTTTTTTGTTTTTAAAATAAAAGAAAGACAGAATTTTAAAAAAAAAAAAAAAAAGAGAGAGAGAGAGAGAGAATTCCGTGTGGGCTATTTACCTCTTGGCAGGGCTCACAATTATACTGGTCTCATGGTGTGTCATTTATGAGATTCTAGTTATTTGTACTTGGTAGGGCTTTCTGACTACTAATACCAGTTCAATAAATATGACCTAGCACCTCAATAAAGATGACTTAGCACCTCAATTCAATAAATATTACCTATCACTGTTGGATGGAGATTTAAATGCAAAGAAATAAAATATGATTTCCCAACCACCACTTCAATTCAGTGCCAGATGTTAAAATAGGTGTGGTTAAGTGGTGGGTGTGTTATTGGCAAGCAGATTAAATCTGATACAGAAAAGCCCTCATTTTCCCCTACCATCTTTTTAGATGTTACTATGAAGGTTTAGAGTTCTATTTTGGTGAAAATTGCTTTCTGTAATGGTCTCTAATGTATAGTTTGCTTGCAGTATGGTTTTAAAGTAGCCACACAGAGAAAATTATTTTAAAAGACTTCTAAGAACTGAGAAGACAAGAACTATAAGCACATATGTACAAGAAGGCCTCCCACTTACATAAGCTACCCTAAAAAAAATCAGCCGAAATTAAACTTTCTTTAAAACAATTTACCCTTCCCAATTTCACATCCCATTAGGAAATGTGTGGACTTGGTTATCCTTACAAAGTTGCTTCTGACTGATTTCTATAGTGTTGTGGTGTATTGTGCTGAGATTTGGAGCAGTCACTAAAATACAGTCATCTGACCAAAATCCTAACTCCCCAGAATTCCCGCTGATTGCAGACTTAATGCTCAGCTCATTTAACCTCCTCTGTGTCCTCCTGTCTCTTTGGGTAGGCCTATAAAAAGGTCCTGCTGTCCAGTATAACATAAAGTGAGTCATGAGAAGGTAGAGCTGCTCTTAAGAAAAAGTCAGCATTTTGGAGCTATTTGATTTCACATTGAAAACTTGTCATATATTAGCACCCACTGGATAGATTTTTTAACAAAAGAGAAACTTTCTAGTATTATGACATATTGAAGTGGGGAGTTTAATACTTCGCTGGTACTTTTAAAGATCATACCTGAATGTAGTGAAAGAAACAATTTTAAGGTAAGTATAAGGTCTGAAAGAAACATCGCATCTTTTCTTCCTAGATAACTAAAAAATCCTTGACAGCAGAGACACAGCGTGCCTGGAGCACGGCGGGCCCACACTAGCCAGGGAGCTGGTACTGAGCAGGAAAGGACACCTGACTTAGCCTCTGTCTGGGGAGAACATAATCAGAAACAAGGACAGTGGTCTCTCCCCATCCTGATCAATAATTGTAGGGGAACCTGAGCCTTAGGGATGACACTGTAGCTAGTTTCTGAGGTGCAGAACAAATAGTTGCACTTGAGATTTGTGAAACAGCAGGGTATGTGATGGAATTGAGTGAGGAGGTGACAACTAGCCCTTGGTGCAGTGGCCAGGTGGGTGAGACTCTCAACAGTAAGCTGGGAAGCCTACCTTAGTCTCCAGCTGGTGTAGAAATGCGCTACGTGGACTCCCGCATACTGTAAGTGAGAGAGGGGCAGAGATAGAAAAACATCAGGCGCATGAAACCCAAGCAGTGCCTTCCTCAGAAAGCTCAGCGTGGTCAAATGGGAGCTCCTGGCGCTGCTGTCCGGACTTCTGCAAGGCCTGACTGACCTTCCCTTAATTGTCCCCTTCATGTCAATACCTGTAGACACCTGGCCAAGATTACTGAAGGCAAAGCACCTGAGGGCCAGTGGAGACGTGTGCTCGGAAATACTGCTCTGTGCTTATTTGGTCTCAGCAGTGTTTCAGGGAGTTCTATCTCCATATTAAATCCCTCTTCAGTTTCTAAAAGCACTTAGAAATTGCTGAGATGACTGTAGCATCTGTTGTATTGAGAAAAAATGCTTTGAAGACAGCTGCACATTATGCATCAACCATTTTTAAGCAGTCAAGTTGCTAATTCCTAAATCATAAGACAGTCATGGGTTGTTTTTAATTAGATTGAGTTATTTGATTTTAAAATAGCTATGAGACTTTAAATGGTGATTTTTTTGCAATGTCTTACACATCATGAGTTCTTAGTCTTCTGAAGTCATACGATTTCAGTTCCAATCTTCTGAGAAGTAAGAAAATTGAGGAAAAAATTTGCAGTGGCTCTCAAAAGAATACGAGGCTATCCTTACCAAGTATCTAATCCCTTGTGAAATTACCCACTTCTCTTTGCCTTAGGACTCCGGGATTCTCTTCCTTTCCTTCGACTCACTTAGCCAGTCCTCAGCCCTGGCTGAGCATGCCGTCAGCTGCCATGTGTGGGGTGTGGCCAAGGGAGTCCTGAATTCTTGTGCAATTGCAGGAACCCAAGCTTTCCACCTTACCTGGATACTCAGGGCTGACCCACACTTCCCTTCTTTACCAGATGACTCAAACCTAATTCTGATCTAGAAGAACCTTCCCAGACTTCTCCTGCCTCTCAGGTTCCCTACTGTAGCCTGGTACACCCTTGTCCTCAAGGCAAGGACCTCCTTTTGACCTCATTTCTTACTTTGTTGTGTTTTCTTACGGTGTCATGGCTTCTTTGTCCTTCTCTAAGCTCAGCTCAGATTATTTCATGAGTAGTGAAAATCTCAGAAAGTTCCTTTTGAGAAGAAAAATGGAAGGCAGGGAAAGCATAGTTTTGCAGTACTTATGTCATCGCAATGCCAGGAATGGTATTCTGTGTGCTGACTTTAAGAAAAACAATTCTTCTGAACTCATCAGATGACAAAATCCCTAGTGTTTGCTGAGTACCAGATTACTATAGAGTTGCTTTAAAATCTTAAGAAGTAGCTTTTAGCACATAACCAAGACCACATCTAGATTGCATGTTGTTTTTGATTTATGACATAGAAAATTTCTGCCCGAAGTCGCCTTTTATGGACTCACATACCTAGAAGTCCAGGGATAGGGCAACTTTAGGTGTCTCTTGATCTTGCTGTTGCAATTCTGCTCTCTCTCCATAGCTCCATTCTGCTTCTTCTGGGTTATAAAAATTCATCATATAGCAAAAAGTCTGCAGTTCCCAGACCCTTCAGTCTTCATGAGTGAAAATCTGCAGGAAAAAACTGCTTTTGATTCACAAGTCCTCACACATGTCCTGTGGTGCTGTATTGGTTCAGATGGGTCACATGATTACCCTTGAACCAGTCACTGAGACCTGGGATAAAAGAGCCTTGGTTGAGCCTAGTAAGTACACAGTCACGTGCACCTTACATCAGCACTGCGCTCAGTTACACCACAACCAAAATCCAGAGCTGGTAGCAAAGTTAGAGTGATTAATTTCTAGATGCGCCCCAATCTGCAGACGTCTACTCTGCTTTCCATGTATACATGTTTTAAATGCCCGCATTTTGAGCTGTCATGTATAGTTTATAATTGAAAATGTAATAGCCACCTCACCCAAGAGAGACATCCCAAAGTCTCAGCCAGTTACTGCTTCTAGCCCTACATCCAGAGTCAACAGGTTCTGTGAAATGTTCTTATCCAGGTAGCAATAAAGCTCCTCGTGGTCTTGAGGCCACAGCCCACCTTAACATACCAAATAGACTCTTGTGAAGACTGAAAAGAATTGAGGCTTTTTTAGGTGCACTTTGAGAAACGAAGAGTGAGACCCAACATGCAGGGGTTCGCTGTCACCATACCCTGGGCTGGACAGGGCAGTCAGGCCCCCTTCTCTAGTCAGGTGTGTGTTGTGTAGAACTGAGAGTGTCATGAATGTTGGAAGATATTAACAATCAGGAGATAAAAGTTTTGTTAACAAATGATACGAATATATGGAAGCAAAGGCTTAAAGAGCCAACTCAGTGTTCTCATTGGGGGCGGCTTGCCAAGTCTCTCAGGTTCCCACTGGGAATAAATGATGCCATGGTTATCGTTCTTGCAGGAAGATTCCTGTCTTCCTGCTCTCCTTGGACTCTGGCTCGAGGCTTAGCTAATTCCCCGGGTGCAGGTTGTTTTTTCTATGCATCCGAGTCAGCACCAGGCATTTTTTTCAAGATCCTTTATTAACAAGCACTGAGGCTTGCAGTTTTTGGCTGTCTACTCAGGAACAAATAAGATAATATACAACTTACATTTTTTGTTTCTACACCATTTTTACAACATTATTTTACTTATGATAGCATTTTTTCACC